TTCCAGGCTTACCTCACAAGGAATTCCTCAATAGCCGTAGTAGAGCTCCAAATTGTTGCTGGGTGCCCTATAACCAAATTGAATATTGATCACGAGATGACCGAGGTTACCAAACTTTTAATAAATACCAAAGAATTAATAAATATTTTATTGAACTCAAATCTTCGGTAGAATCTATAGCTATATTATAATATATTTTCTAAAGGATTACTAGGATTTTCGATTCCAATTTACAGACACCCAACATAAGTAAACGAAATATAATACCACATCACCTTTCGTTAAGTATATAATTCATGCCTTCACTGCCCAATTGTCATTTAATAAAATTTCCGAGAGACACTTAAGTGCTAATTGTGCTACTTATATAGTACATGGCGTGTGTAAGTATATATAATATATATAAATATATATATGTACGCAGTCAAAATTATCTTTGTATGCGACATTCCTAAAGTCCAATGCCGTTATACTTCAATATATAAAAATGTAAGCCTTAGTTTTATTTCAGCTCATAGCTCAAGAGTTTCCATTAATATTTCTTGCGAAATTTCATTAATCCTGCTCACTTAATCGGAAACAATGAAAGAAAATGTGTTGCTAATCAAAGCCGGCCCTTGTAATTAGTCATTCAATTAACCTCAAGTCTACTTTTATATGAACATATATTTCTTTTGGTTAAGACAATATAATTTCCATAGAAAATAATTAAGAAAAACAAACATTTTTTTTAGCCCATTAAGCCAAGCTTCTGCTATATAATTCAAATTCATAATCCGGTATTTTTTATTTATTTAATTAAATTTTATAATGATTTGAACAAACAAAAACATAAAAATTAAAAAACAAATCAAGAAAAAACCTTAACTTTGCCTCTCGCGAAGCTTTACCCTTTACAGCCGCATTTTTTGTAACATAAAAGGGTAAACAAATACTTTTATTATGGTTTTGATCGATCAGTTTGTATGGCAGCTATATGCTATAGTTGTCCGATCTAAACGGTTTGAAGTGCACCTTTGAGCAATAATCTCCGCCAAATTTCGTGAAGATACCTTGACAAATAAAACAGTTTTTCATACAAGGAATTGAGTTCAATCGGTTAGTTTATATGACAGCTATAAACTATATCAATGTGGGGTGCTCCGACAAATGAGCAACTTCTTAGTGAGAAAAGGACGTGTGCAAAACTTCAGACCGATATCTCAAAAACTGAAGGACTAATTCGGGTATGTACAAACTGACATGACTAAATCGACTCAACTCATCACGCTGATAATTTATGTATATGTATTGTATATATATATATAATTTATAAGATCTCCGATGTTTACTATTGGGTGTTACAAACCCGCCATTATGATTCACTGTGACGTGACCTTTTTTGTACTTAATGTAACGTTATTGTGAATATACCTACCGAGAAAGTTTTTTTTGTATAAGTTAAAAACAAAATATGCAAAAACATAATTATTGAGGTTATGTGAAAATAGTTTTAGTACAAAAGTTGTAAATCTTTTCATTATCTACGACGTTACATATAACATATGCGGCAGGACTCGTAGTTTTTACGGAAATCGAGCTTAACCCTTTTTAATCTCTAAAAATTCCAACCATGCTCCTCGATTTCCACTTTCCGACCTCAGATAGCTCGTAATTATTTTTGCTTAAATTTTGTTTGTCTTTCATTTTCAATGGGTTTCAAAGGCTTCTGCACTGGTCTATAAGAGCTTTTCTCTGCCCGTAGATTTGGTAATGCTCTCATAGTTACCCATTTATGGAACTTAGGAACTGTTAAAAACCTGTCAAAAAATCAGTATGTAATTAGCTCGATGATCAGAACAGCTAATTTCAGTTAATTATGAACTCACATAGCCTCATATCAAGATAAAACTTCTCTTCGTCCACAGTTTTGGTCAAGACTTATGCCAAACAGTACTAAATATTTTGGAATATTGAAGTGGTTTTTTAAACAGTTGGCAACCTAATTCAATATATTTTCATACAATGCTTAGATGGTATCATAGCTAAGGCATCTATCAATCAGACTGATAGAATAGTTAGTCAGATAGCATATTTATATGTATTTACGTGTCTTGAGATTCTGCTTTTGGCAAACATTTTTTTTTTTAATTTTTATTTTGAAAAATAGATGTTTTTAAATGACAATGTAATTTTTCGGTGTACCCAAAAAAATATATTTCGGAATAACGAAATTAAAACTGAATATTGTTTTCGATAATCTTAAATTTTTTTTTTTAAATACAATAAATTTGCTTTTCCGAAAAGAAAGTTATTAAACTTTGCATTCAACTTTCGATTACAATTGAATGCGACAGATACCAATATGAATTTCATACCTATAGGTCTGCCTTAAATATTCTATCAAAATTGCCTCTTGCTATGTTAAAGTATTGTATTTAAAGAACTCATACTGAATTGAAAACCTTCTTTGCACATATGTAAAGAATCCCAAGCAATGTTGATAGTATCAGAGTCACATTGCCTCACACAGACCTCCGACTGTGTAAAAGAATAATGTTGTACGAATGGAACAACCTGATTTCATTTGTACAAAGCAATGTTTCTACGCAAAACATATGTTGCCATGCGCACACATATGTATATTCTCAAGGCAATAGTGCAAATGGAATTCCGCTCTTAAATATATTCTCATATAACAAACTCACTTCTAGTGGACATGCAGACGAAAATGTGCTTGTTTTATTCGTCATTTAAGTAGTTATGCGTAAAATCTAACCTTTTTCGGCGAAATACGAATATTTTTAACCTTTTAACGCATTCGGCAACATAAGAGTTTAGCATACACATACAAAAACACACGCGCTTGAGAAATCCGAAATCCTTTTCACACTGAGCAACACTGAAACCTTAATCCTTTACGAAAACTTTTATCTCTTTGTATTCCGGAATCTTATTTCTAAAGCACACACACAACGCCACACATACACCGAAACACAACCGAATGACTTAAGTGCGATTTTACCGTTACCAAAATTTATGATGTACATTAATTGCTGTCGCTCAGTTCGATAGTGAGCACTTGGCTAGCAATTGATCTTTTCACCTCACGTAAAAATATTTATTGTACGTTTCCGAATAGTACACTGTCGAGAAACAGAAATCAGAATTATTTCCAATTTTTTTTTTTTTTTGCAATTTGCTGCCTGAGCTTTCACCATGTTTTGGAAGGACATTCTAATTGTGATTTTTATACACGTTTTGTTATGATTTTTCATTATGTGCAGTCGCAATTTTTAGAGTGGCTTCACACACGCAGTCTTCTTAGGAAATATTTTGAAAAACTAGTTTTTAGTCTAATTTAAGCGCCACAATAATAAACAGTCATTTGCCCTAAACCTTTAGGTGTTATTTAATATGATTAGAACCGATCCAATGCTGTCATTATACGTAGTTTGCGTTTTATATTTTTGGGTTTGTCACAACTTTATCGTAAAGTTTGGCATTTTTGATGTTATACATACTCAGAACGTTTTGACATACGAGCGCTATTTGTGTTGTTTACAGTAACTTAAAATATTCATTTCGCGAATATTTTCGCGGTTTTTGTTTTATAACTTTCGTCGTAAATTAGGTCGTAGGTCACTCCAAAACAAATTTCATGAAGGTCAGTTATTGTTCCGGAAACTTTTGATACTGTGCACAAACTGATATTGCAAGTCATGTGACTTATCGTGAGTTTGAGATTACCATAGGCATTAGTGGGACCAGCATAAATTCAAAATTAAATTAAGATTTGATTGTAAAAAAAATTTTGATTCCACACATTTTGTCAATCGAAATCAAGTCAGGGGAAATGTTAAAAAAATACAATAGCTGCCCAAGCACGTCTATGAAATCATGACAAGAGATGAATCGTGGATTTACGCGTATGAGCCCAAAAGTTGGCAGCAGTCGACTGTATGGAAGTTTCAAATTTTTGATTTTCGATTATTAATATTTATTTTTGTTCTCTAATATTAATATTAAATATTAACCAAGTTTCTGATATTAAGCAACTTTTCTTAGAACTTTTAAATTTCTCGATAAAACCGAAATCTCGTCAATTTTTTCGGGCGCATCCACCTGTAACCATATACGTGGCTAGGGAGACGGAAAAATGTGTAGATATCAAACAAGCTCTAACTAATTAGAAATGGACTAAAGCCCGAATATGAGAAAGTCTATCTTTGTTATTAAGTAAACGTTCACTTTAATTGGTGCGAGCCAATGTCGTTAATCTAAAACTAATCGAGATGATTAGAATGATAATTAATTGAGATTCAGAAGATGTTTTTTGATTAAATTTTAAAAATATATATACGGAGATGATACTCTATCTACAAAAAAAAATTTAAATCAACTGTACTATATACAAGTATACCTCACAACTTTTGGAACGAACAAAGAGTTAACAAAAATTTCGTCTTAATTAAATCCATTAAACTTGCTTTCTGCCTTTGTAACGGTAATTCAACCCACCATAAAATTGTAAAAATTTCAAGACCAGCTGATACAACAATGAAACTGCAGTTTTACTTTTCTGCCCAACCGACCAAGATAAATAATACTATTACCATTTCGTTTTCAATTAACTCGACTCTATTGTTTTAGACGCCTGCATTCCTCTTGCCGTTATGCAGACAGTTTTACTCTCTACTTATGTTATATTCAATGTTTTTACGCACGCTTTAGCATAACCTTGTATTTTGTGACCCAGACAAAGGTGTTCTTCAACTGCAGCTATTAATTATTTCAATGACAGCACCAGCTACAACCTATTGACCTCATTTCGCCTCAATATATTTTCCACTCACCATTCTAACGCCTCACCGCCCACAAGCATGCGTTTGCGCTCATTTACTTCCGTACTTTGAAATGCAAATGTTTTTACCCTACTTGTTTATGTATATTCGCTTAGCTGTACCTAAAGCTAAATATTTAACATAATATTTTTCTCTATTTTATTGTTTTCCTTTAAGGTTACTGGCCACTCGGCTTCGTTTGGTGTAACATTTATGTAACGTGCGATGTATTGGCTTGCTCCTCGAGTATCCTGCATATGTGCTTCATCAGCTTGGGACGGTATTTGGGCATACGAAATCCGTTGGGATCGCGACATCGTTCGACGAAACGCTTGGCTGGCATTAAGATCGCCATTGTGTGGGTTATGGCAATGATAGTATCCAGCTCAATAACAGTTTTGGGTAAGTATCAAGCATTCAAGCTTCACTCTTTTTTTTTTCTCTCTTTACCTATTTTTTCTACATCTTCTCTCCCTGCAGGCCTTTTCAATAAGCACAATATCATGCCGGCTCCGAATATTTGCGTCATAAACAATCGCGCTTTCTTTGTATTCGGCTCGCTTGTGGCGTTCTACATTCCTATGCTAATAATGCTCACTTCCTATGCTTTGACAATACCACTGCTACGTAAAAAAGCGCGCTTTGCGGCCGAGCATCCAGAAAGTGAACTCTTTCGACGGTAAGCAGTACTAGCATAAATATTATGAATTTAGTGATATTATAAAGGCTTTTCCTAAAATTAACATAAAATTATAACTAAATAAAAAACACAGTTTTTAGTCTTTCGATTGTAATTTTATTAGTAAATCATAAAGTACATATCATAGGGTTATTTATGGAATAACACATCGGGCAAATGGCCTCCACGGCTTTCCATATACATACGCACTCGTTTTTTGAAATTTTCCATGACTATTCTGCATAAATGTGGCTGAATTCAGTTGATGCACCGTTTAATCTCCTTCTGAATGTAGGCTTGTTGCAATAGACGTATGATTTTAAATAACGCCACAAATAGAAATATAATGGGGCTAAATCACACGATCTAGGGTGCAAATTCTGATCACCAAAACGAGAGTACACAACCTGGAAATATCTCATGCTGTAACTGAAGTGTTTCACGGGCTGTATGATATGTTACCAACCTCTCATTATTGTTCAATAATGAAGACACGTTGTTTTATCATGTAACGCTCCATTTTTACTAAGCTTAAACTGTCACCTGTCGATTTGCTTTTTTAGGGTTATGAACACTTTACTACATAAATGGTGGCAAATTTAAATCTTGCGCAATTTGGCATTATTATCCAAAGCATCGCTACAAACCCGCGAATCTTTACATATATAGATCGGACCACTATTTCTTATAGATGCCATTCATTTCCGATAAAAATCATTATAAAAATCCTTTTATACTCTTTTTTGCTAAAAGCATCCAAGTCGAAATTTAATATTTTCATTATCAAATTTCATTCGAAGAAAGCATCATCAAGGTTACTGACATGCACGTCATAGTAATTTCGTGTTAATAAATATTTCAATGTGAAAAGTTGTACCTGCAAACATTTTGTATTTTTATTTCATTCGAAAATTATATAAAATTCTTCTATCTTCATATTTTCTTCACCAGTTTGGGTGGCCGTTTCACTATACGACCGCAGCAAAGCCAACAGCAATTGCAACTGCCCAACAACAACAGCTTACGTCGAAGCAATAATAGTCACACCAGCTACAGCAAATATTGTGGCAGCGATAGCAATCGCAATTTCAGCGCGAAAAATGATGGAGTTATTAACGCCACAGGCAACAGTGATTGCGACAAGCAACAAACACACAGCTTGCGACATGCTAACAATGTAAACTATTTGAACGTTTGCGGCAAAGCAGATGGTAGTAGCACCAACTTTGGCAGTGCACTTTTCAAATGCCACACCAGCTTTCGACGCAGCGGCATGCGTCACACATCAACGGCATCAGTGCGCATTAAGTCCCCGACACGCGACATCGGTGGTATGGATCGGCGGATGACGCAATCACAATCGGCGCAGCACAGCAGCTACTGGCGCACCCACGGCAATCTGAACATCATGGACAGGTAAGTGCATTGAGAGACAAGTGGCGGTTTGCGGGCAATCAAAACCAATAAGGCTGCACAAAAGGTCTTAGATAAAGAGACGATAAATATAGCGACATTTTCCCTAAGTTTGACACCTAGTCAATATTGCGCATATTTTTTAAGATATATATATATAGTATATGTAACTATGATGTAGACTTGGTAACATTAGAACATATAACCAGTAAGAAGTATTATATTGTACCCAAATTCATACCTTCCGGTAGAGGTGAACACTTCTAAGATTGTCAACATTCCCGTGATTTTCGATGATCTTTTTCATCTTAAGGCAGAAATACGAACTGAGTTTGGCATTCTTAGCGGATCATGCAAGAAGAATGTTAGACGAATGGGTTTAAGTAGAAAAGCAATGTGAAATTTTTGTGGAAAGTGGATCACGAGAGCCCACAATCGACGGATACACCGTAAATAAATCAATGAAACTGATGGTAAATCGCTTGAAGTATCTCCCTGATTTTGTCGTCAGCGACATTCTTGCACGAGGTGAAGAAGTAGCCGAGACTGACGCTCAAAAGCTCAAGAACACTGGGTATATGCAGGGGTCCGAACAAGGACACACCGAAATATATTCTCCTACTACTGTATTCTTGAAAAATTTAATCACTCCGTCGCAGAGGCCACTAAAGGCTGCTTCTTCGTTGCCCACATACCGACGAGAAATATGTAAATGGAGAGGAGTCGCTGGAAAAGATACGCAGAGAGCTTTTTCACAGATGTTTCCAAGCTAAAAGGGAAGATTTGAGAGGGAATTTTCTGTAAGGAGCTCTCCGTCCATCTTAACTTTAGGATTTCAGTCTTTTTTAGAAGTCTGAAATAACATCAAGCTACTTCAGCATCAGACTCATTTGGGTGCCTGATCATAGCGGAATCGCTGGCAACTGCAAAATCGATAAGCTAGTCAGAGGGGACACCCTTGCCGCGCTCATATCGGAACAGGACCGAGTTGGAACTCCGTTGGCGCCTTGCGTACACACCAACGACCAGGTTCCTTCAATATTGCCGTAATCGTAGGGGTTCTTACTGAACACTGAAGAAGGGTAAGTAAGGTGGCACCAAGCGCCATTGTCCAGCCTTTGCAAGACTGAGGTTGAAACACATCGGCAGTCTTACCATCGGTGAGCCAGAGGACATAGCCGAAGCTGACATTAGCCGTCTCAACAAAATTTTGATGGACTCCAAGTGATTTCGAAAAGTTGGAAGAAGAAACTTTGCCATGATTAAGAGAATAAAATCCAATGCTCTTTTTAACAAAACCAATGCTCTTCTTTATAAACATAACCTTAACGGCTCCATATACACAGAAGAATTGCTCTTATTCGCATTGCATTCGTAAGTACCACTAAATTTGCCCAAATTTAAAATTTTATTAAACATAAAAGATAACCGTACATTTTTTTTAAACAAATTAATATGTTTTTTCTTTTAAATATCCACTTTGTCGCGTGGCAATAAAAGGCTTCCTCATATTTTTATACACCTTTTTTTATATTATTGTATGTATGTGTGCGTATGAACTGCTTTCAGAGCTACTAAAAATAAAGTTTTTACTTCAAAAGTACTTTTAGTGCAATTTAGATGAAATATGGCAAATGCGGACAACACACTTTCTTTATTACCTTTAAATAGGCAATAACTTTTTTGCAACCAATGGACTGGCCATAAAATGTTCATATAAATACGCACACAGCCATACAAATATAAAAGTGTAAAAGTACAAATGCATAACTGTGGCGCTTAACCATCATAGCGGTGCGACGAAAAACAGCAATTCCCGCGAAACGGCCAAATAAGCGCCGAAGCAGCTGCGTGTACTTACACAACAATGCAACACAAGCTACAAAAAATATATATGTATATGTATCTATATGTGTAAAAGGGATTGCAGTTGCAAAGGCTTGTAGTGGAGGCATATGCAAACACATGTACCCATTTTTATGGTATTTATGTGCAGTTGTACCGTTATAACCGCAGTTACATGCCATCGCCATTGTTTACTGTAATCGTAAGCGTTGGCTTGCTGCAATTTTCTTGCTAAATCGGTTTTTGCCATAAACAACTAAGTCAAATGTCTGTGTGTGGGTGATTGGCTATCCAAGTGTGCTATTAGGGAACGAACTTACATATATACATATATACATTATGTGTTAGTAAGTTTATAGACTTAAGGGTGCCTTGAAATCTGAAACACTTAAGTTTTTAACCTTACAACAAACCACTAAGCTGTCTGATGGATTTAAATGTCTTACCAGCGGATTTTAGTTTTCGCTTGCCGCTTTAGATGCAATAATCGATTCAGTTCTGATCAATTTGTCAGCTGATCAATTATTGATAGCATTCTTAGCCAAGCAGCGTAGGACCAGCTGAAAAAAGAATACATGGAAGTAGGGTGAACGTCTGATGGCGCGCATAGGCCTTAAGGTGGCTCCTTGTGAATTTCTTACACAAGTCGCCAATTAGCTAAATGGCTGAAATTTTGTTTATTGTTAGAGAAATCACTGCAGACGAGCCATGTTTAGTTCGGTAAATCTAATAAGCGCTTGGCTTATAGCTATCGTCATCAATATTCTCTAATATCAATTCAAGGAGACACATTCAACAGCTAAAAGTATCTGCTATACCGAATTATTTGCTAAGAGTAATGGTCGATTACTACAGAGTTAATATCTGCGTGGACAGCCAAGCAGCAATCACGGCTTTAACCTTGTTTCGCATATCAGCCAGAAGTGTCTTGGAAAGTAGAGCAGCAGTGGAGAGTATCACCAAAAGCAAGCGAGTTAACTTCTACTGAGTGCCAGGTCACAAAGGCATCGAGGGCAATGAGATAGTGAACGCGGAGGGCAAAGAGTGGTGTATGGCTGTCACCCGAATATGTGATCAACATTGGAAAACCCATGCGCAGTCTATACGACGATCTGGATAGGTGCATGGTAAGGAAAATCAAAACGCGATCGAACGATCTAACTGGGTGCAAAACTGCAAAAGTCATGTGTAAAACTGTAGATCGGAAATATAAAAAATTCCTACTGCCACTTGATAGTTGGTAAGTAAGAACTTGATTGGAATACTCACTGGTCACAGTTTCTAGAAAACTGCAGAAAATGTCAAGAGTAAGACACCAGGAAAACAATAAAGCTTCGCTTGTGCAAACTTCTTTTAATACAGTTCTATGTGATCCAAGAGTTGTCTCCTAACAGACACAGGACACCTACCAATATTTACAAGCAAACACTTTAGGAAATAATTGAATGGAAAAACCTTCTCGAAATAGACATAATGAATAAGAAAAAGCAGTTCGTCCATAAAAAATTATTTTACTCAATTACGGCGTTTAAGCTCATAGTTGCTTTCATAAATGTATTATATAAGAATCCATTGAAATTGTTTATAAGAATAGTTTATGAGAAATTCTCCGCCATCATCACTCGTCGTAAATTCTAAGACTAACGCTGCTATAAGAAATGGTCCTAGAAGACAGACTTTGTTTTTTTTTACATACCTATGACCTTGTCTCTTGTTAACCAGTAAAGCCCTTATGACTCTCTAAAATCTTAATATCTCTAATTTATAATGTTAATATTATATCAAATATTGTAGAAATATTTCATTGAGGTCTTTTCAAGTACTTCTCGGTTTTAGTGTAGACAACTCAGTATCACAAAATTATATATTTAAAGGCATAATTGAAAGCTTGCAAATTGGTCTGACCCACTTAGCGGAGCCTCTAAATACGCCAAGGCCAAACAAGTATTTGGTGCAGTAGCGAATGTATTGTATGGTTGATCGAATCAAGTGAATACTCGTATATACGAATACATTTCTGTTTGATACGAGTGCTCGGGTGGTGTAAGTACTTGATTACAACGTGGTTTTCATAGTTTAACCTCATTTCATGGATAATCTGTTTAAAGAATTAAAAATATCTAATACATTGTTCCAAACAATAAAAATTACACGTTTGTATTTTCTAAACAATTTGAAAACTTCTCAAAGAAATTTTCTATTTATCAAAAAGTACCAGTCATAGATCGAATCCCCACGAAAATTTAATTCTGGCTATTCGTGACTAAATATCATCCCTCAGAACGAGTCTACACATACTTTATTTTTATTATTGAACTAGTATACCTTAAATTATTTCATAGGTTTCCTCATTCATCTTTCTTTTTACTAATTGTATTAATCTGTACTTTGGAACTCGTCTTAATTTCGGAAAGAAAAGCTTTTTCTCTCTCCTTTTCTATACCTATCACTATACTATATCTATTTAATTATGCCAGTCTATTTATACCAGTTGTTTATTCGATTAGTCACTTTGAAGCTCTTCATAAGAAGGATAAAATGTATTTGCTGATATAAAATACGAAAAATAAGTATGAAAATTTATTAATTTACAAATTTATCTTCTAAAAATATTGTCTTTTGAAATAAATCCTAATATAAATATTGATATAGGCTTCTCCAAACTAGTTGGTCTGCAGTCTTTATATATTTTTAGTTATTCTTTATTTTCCTAAAGTTTCAGAAAAAGTTATTGTCCCTAAATGGAAATTAGTTTCAGACTTCATGACCCCAAATCAGCTGCACCTTAAATTAGACTACTGAAATTTAATAATTCGATCCGATAGCCACACCAGCTGTTTTTCCGTCAACTTTAAACTGCATCACCGCTATTTTAATTGTTTTCAAGCATATTTTACCAACATAAATCGCCAAGTGTTGCCTTCCACTTCAGCATTGCGGCGAAACATAAGACTTGTGGCTAGCCACTCTTTAACAGTCCTTGCTGGTGGCACAATACTCGCTGCACTTTAAGTTAACTCGGCCACAATTTCGTAGAAACAACTATATAGATGTGCACATTCACGTTCATCCACTTCTGGCCCTTTGACTTCTCTGAGCTGACTGTGCCGCTGGTGCATTGGCGTTCTGGAAAATTTTCACTCCCGCTGTTGGCACTTGCATCGGCACTCTTTACCAAGCACTTTACAAGTAAACTCATATACATTTCTATAAACAATTCATGGTAAGCTGAGACTCGCATACCTTTCTCATTCTACGTTTCTTCGAAATTTCACTTGCTTCAAAGTACTCTGTACTTGCTTTTTTCCCACACCACCGTTTTGTAATGAAACTTTCTCCTCAGCGGCAAGTGTTAACCAACAAAAAACTGCTAAAGCACTTCTAATTATAGTTTTATTTTCACTTTTTTCTCGAAAGATTTGTTGTTTTATAATTTTACTTGAATATGAAAGCACTAAGCGAGTTGTTTGTGTTTTTTTGAGTTTGTTTACGCTTTTACTTGGCGCCGAGTAGACGCAAAGACTTTACAGCTTTTAAGCATTGCTTTGCATCACATATATATGTAAGTACATTTTGAGTGTTTAAAGTTAAGTCAATTGCTATAATGTTATATTTACATAGCTAAACTATCAATACATTCTAAACTGTAGACCACTGTTTGCTTGAAGGATCACGTGATAGAATTACCGCTACCTCTCCCTTGAACATAGCCACAAACTCTCTTTTTCTCTGATATACATAAATTAGTGGAGAATGCACTCTTTTATCGTTAAAGTTTATTTATTTTCCTAAACACAGAAGAAGCTGCTTGGAGTCTCTGAATTCTAAAAGTTATTAACGGATCAATAAAAACCGACTTATTTGATTGGAATAGAAGCTTTCTTATAAATATTGCTATTACTCTAGAGTATGAGCTTTTAAGCAACTATTGAATATTATAATGGTAATCATGATCGTGTCATTATACCCTGAACAGGGTATAATAAGGTTGCCACTATGTTTGTAACACCAAAAAGGAAAAGTGGGAGATATATAAAGTACATATATAAATAATCAGCGTCGATTAGCCATGTCCGTCTGTATATACACGAACCAGTCTCTTAGTTTTTGAGATATCGACCTGAAATTTTGCAGACGTCCTTTCCTTACCAAGATGCTGCTCATTTGTCGGAAGAGCCGATTTTGAACAACTATAACATGCATATAGCTTTCATATAAACCAATCGAACTCAAGTCCTTGTAAGGAAAACTTTTTTGTTTGACAAGTTATCTTTACGAAATTTTGCATAGAATGCACGCTGCAACGCTGAAATCTTAAAAGAAATCGTTCAGATCGGACAACTATAGCAAATAGTTGTAATACAAACTGACCGAACAAAATTGAGTTATTCTAAGGAAAACTTATTTGCCAAGACAGCTTCACGATATTTGGCGTAGATTATTATCCAAGGCTTACTTATACTTATACTTTTTTTGAATAAAACTCTTAAATGATTTCTTTGCAGATTTTCCACTGACTTATTCTCTTTTCGTTCTAAATATAATTCAAAGCTGCAGTAATCTATCTTACCTTTACCTAACCTCAGCAAACCTAACCTTTATTCATCTCACTCTCTCTCTCTCTCTCCCTGCCTATCTTGCCCTTAAATCTTTTTCTCTCTCTCTATAATGCTATATATATAATAAGGCATCCCATTTATTTTCTTTCAGCATATTTATTCTACTAAATTAGAAATTTCCATTACCTCCGCCAGCACTTTGTATTATATATTAAAATTGCACGATCCTTTCAAGGCAAGCATTATTTAGGGAAAAAAATATTATTTAGCATAAAATAATGTACCAAACAGTTGTAAGAAAGAAAACAGGAAAAGGAAAATCAAGCGCTGCAGCCTCACCGGAAATTACCGAAACAGAAATATAAAAATTAGTATAACAAGGTTTTCGATAAAGAAACAAAAAAACCACTTCTTAAACACTATTCTTTACTATGTATTTACAATATTTTTTTACATTGTTGCTATCTAAACTCGCATAATTTGAGATAAACTGGCATAAATCCAAACTAACTGAGCTGCGAATTATGCCGTCTGCATAAATCACCCATAAATAACTTATAAAACATTTTCCATGCAAACTTATTTACATACTCATATAATCTAATTTAGCTATTTACGCCACTGCATTTTCAAGTCAATATTTCTAAGAGTTAGTCGCAACACATTCAAATTTCATTCCTCAACGCCTCCAGCTAGATCGCTCGTGCTAAAAATATAACTTTAATCTTTGTGAAATTATATTATAAATTGTAGCGAATGTAGCTTTCCGCAGGAGGGAAAGTAATCCAATTGCACTCTGTTAGTTAACCATAACATGAATATACAGTTTATAAGTTCGTACAACAATTATCAAAGCGTAGCAGCTAAGTGTCTACGAAACTACGGCTAGCAAGACAAGTTGTTGGCGAAGCACGATGGTTTTGTGAGGCAGCATGTCGGAATGTAATAAATCCAATTAGCCGTAGCTATTTTCGGATTTTGAAGACACTCTTAAGTTGCAGATGTTATGAGAGATTATTTTAAGTGCGTTAATATTTGTTCATACTCTCGCAACATGTTGCCACTATAGACTAAATAATAGTTTTGTTCAACTAATGATTGCTTGTAGCACCTCAAACTAATCGACGATATGACGATACGAGTTAAATTCCTATAAACTTATAATTTTCCTAATAAGTGGTTTTAATCCGTATTCCAATAGGTATAATATACCTCACAAAACACTAGACTTAATATGTCAGCATATCAACAATACTCACTTAGAACACATACTCATACAAGCGCGGCTAAAATTTAAATTGCATCAAGATGTCCGAATAAAAATTTGCACAAATAGGTGCCTTTGCCTTGAGCGGCACATTCGAAGAGAAAGTATTGAAATAACTGAAAAGTGGACCTTGCTGTAAGCGGAGACCTCCCTAGACTTCTTCCGATTTACCCTGGGCCAGAAAGGCCTTATGACTTTACAGCTGCTGGTAGTTGACCAACGCTGGCTGAGTTAGTCTGAGGCTCAATAGTCCACAAGAAGCCAACTGAACTCCTAAGCGTTCCGATTCTGCAGCTATTGAGACTGAAGTACCTGTCCTACCAAGCTTATTAGCTTTACAGTTTACCGCAACATCGCTGTGGCCAAGAATCCAAACCAGTGTGATCGTAAAATAACTCGATGCTAGAGATAAGGCGTTTAGACATCTCTTCACTAGTCTTGAGCGCACAGTCAGTGAACTCAAAGCTGATATCGCTGCCCTACTAACGGAGTGGATAGTCGCCACTGTAAAGGAAGCTGCGCAGCGGAGCGTTAGATCTACTGCTACCTTAATGGCAGCCACCACCGCTTGGGAAACGCTGCAGTGGTCAGAAAGCCTAAACCTGGAGCTGGAGGAAGTTCCCGACAGTTTACTCCTCCACCAATCTTCCTACAAGCTTTATATATACTCGTATTAATCGGTAATATCAATAAAATTGCGTGAAAATATTTTCTGGCTGTTGATATTAATGAGTTGTCTTCTCTTAAACGGTACCGCTTCCTCGACGCCGACAATAAGTTAAAAATGGGCAAGGACTGTTCATACGACAATCGAGTCTACGTAACCTGAAGAAACGGACTTACATGCGATCAGCAACTGCCAACTCGGCGGCACTCCTAAATTATTTCAGTAATAATGTTTTTAGTTCAACAAACGATTGTTAATAGCTACATATATGACTAGCAGTCTAGATCCCGATTTCAGATATTTTTCACGGCATCTAAATGTTAATTCTTAAATACTTTTCCGATATTCTCTCTATGAATGTCCATTTCATTAATAGTTTACTGAACCAGGCAGCCAATAAAGCAAATACGCTACCAGTATCGCTGCAATCAGTTGCCTTGCCATTTACCGAACTCGAATAAATACATTTGCAAGCCTCATTCATTTTTTAATCTAATTTGTAACTTTTTTATGAATTCCATTTTATGCCTTTACAGACATCCTAATCGACATGCATCGGTGCGTGTGAGCGCCTCTCAACCACAATTGGGTTACTCTACAAACGGTGGCACGGCGGGTGGCGCGCTGATCAACAGCGGCGGCGGAAACGACACTAACCTACGAAAGGATGTCATTAGCAGCATCACCGGCAATACGTCCAACAACAATGGCAGTAATAGTACATTACTATCAAAGCAGCACGGTGGCACTTGTGAGCAGAGCACACAAACACCCGAGTCCTTAATGCGTGAAACACGACGCCACAAGCTGAAAGCATTTAAATTCTCACTGAATAATGTTACTACGCCAGCGTTGAATTTGCGGTGAGCACTATGCATGCATGCATATTCGTGCTTATGCGACTAGCACGCAGCTAGGCACTTATGCGTCGCGCATGTAATTATATTGCACAACCCTGATTTAATTTGTGTTTCTATATCCTTTAATTTTGTCGGTTTCTCTCTCTCTCTCTTTCCCACTCACTCTTTTTCTTTCCTTGTGTAGCTTCCTAAATAATCGCAACAAACGCAATAGCTTATCCGCCAATGCAGTGGCCACCGAACAGAAAGCTACCAAAGTACTCGGCTTAGTCTTCTTCACCTTTGTCCTTTGCTGGTCACCGTTTTTCATACTGAACATCATTTTCGCCGCTTGCCCCACATGTCAGGTGCCCGAACATGTTGTGGACACATGCCTCTGGCTCGGTTATGTTTCATCAACAATAAATCCCATTATTTATACAATTTTTAATCGAACATTTCGTGCGGCTTTCATACGGCTACTAAAGTGCAATTGCGAGCGGTAAGTGAACAATTCAATTTTGACTATACACTAATTAACGTTACAAATGCGTATTTAATGTAGAATTATATTCGATTGGAATATATTATCGCGAAAATTATCGATTTGGTTGTTTATATCAGTGGAATATTATGTGGGTTACTTATGTTTATACCTTCTTCTACAACTGATTTGCTAAAACTCTTTTGCTCTTTTTGGCATTATTCTTAGCGAAGGACTGTGTTTCTAGCTACTTAAGCAATACAGGTCTTAGAAAAATCTTCCTTAAAAATAATTTAATTTAGGATTTGAGCCGTGAACAAAATTCATACAGGTTATTTTAACATTACATCATGTAACATCCATTAACCCAGAAGCTTTGTTATGTCTTCCTGATATTAACGGATTGAATGAGAACTCTTGGCGCGGTTTGACATTTTACTGTAACCCATTTTAAAAGTAGTTTGGCAAATTTGGATATATACTGTTACAACTTATCAAACTTATTTGTTTAATGTTTATCCGAGTTTTTGTTTCCGTATATTATTTCTACCCAATACTAGGAATACAATCGAAAAATTGGCATTGGCTAAAAAAAAAATATTTATGTTAGTTTCAGATACCATAGATTATTAACACAGCGAAGATTACAACCTGCTTTTAGCGAAGAATTTGACCTATTGCTGTAAATTCGAAATAATTTCACCTGCGGACTCTAATTACTAACAGCTTAGGAGAATTTTTGTGTCTGTAAATGAATATATTAGAATTTTATTAAGCTTTATCACAGATATATACTCAAAAAGAACCGACCAATGAACGGGCAGGGAAATTACGCAAACAATTTCTTTCACTGTTCTGAATATTCGTGTTTTTAGTTTTAGCAAGGGATATGATAATAAGTTTAAGGCTCCATAGCTGTCAGTTAGCCAGAAAGTCAAATTAAAAAAAAAATTCAGAAGGCTCAAAAACTATTAAAATCATCAAGTAGTTCCACAGAGTTCCTTCTTTTGTCCCAAAACAATTTAGTCAGAATAAGAAGCTCCAACGTTGGTTACAATTCTTTAGAATTTCAAACAATCTATCAGAACCTGACTGCTAACAACTAAATGACTATTCAGTGAGTTTTGAGTTCAACTCGCAGTCAAAAGAAAACTCCCAAACTGTACGGACATAATTAAAAGCGATCGCCATTCGCAAGCGATATCAAGTTCCCAAATATATAATATAGATGTTATAAAAAAAAATATATTAATAAAATCCACCAGACATTTATAAAATATTTGTATATACTCTCTTCCATATTTCCACAATTTTTAATTTAATTTATGAAACTTGCAGGATAAGTTTTATTAAATTATTTTGTATTTTACAGTTACACAACCGTTATATGTACATATGCAAATGCATTTGTTGTAATGTAAAAATAGATTTAGTTTAAATAAACTGATTTCTCTTTTTTCAACTCTCCATTGCTTCGCTTCTCTCTCTCTCTTTACAGCTCCGGTCGGCCGTCACGCTATCGTTCCGTCACCGAAGGACGCGGCGCATTAAGTCTGTGCGCTCCATCCGCCCTACCATTAGCCATTTCATTTCAAGGTGCACCTTTGATGACACCATCAACTACAAATGCAACACCGTTAAGCGATTTTCGTGGCAGCTATACGATTACAGATGATGAGTGTTAAAATGGAGATGCACTCATTTGCCTGTCGTGTGAGCTGACTGCAAACAGACCAGCAATTATTATTTTAACTGAAAATGACAACATAAATATGCGAATTGACGTTATTCAAGGGGGTGAAATTATGGTGAAATGACGAAACGAACACATACATATGTAACTAGTGTTACCTATGCATACATACATATAAATGTATACGAGTGGTGCGTGTGTGTGATGCCAAATGAATGCTGTAGTCGTATTGGAGTGTTGGTGAATGAATGTTCATAGAAATATATAACTCGTACCTAGTGATGCTATGTTTTCACATATAAACATAAATATTCAGATGTGGTTGCCATATATGGTAATAAGTGTAGCTATAAAATCTATATAAAAATACACACAAATGTATACATAAATACAAGTAAATTGGCAGAAGTTTATTATAACTTTTCCCATGCAGTATCAACGACCAACAGTTCAAGTAGACAATTGAAAAAGTTGGTCAATTCGTGAGGAATTATTAGGCAAAGGTTGTGGCGAACTTCAGCAACAAATATGTTCGTGCTTCGAAAGCATTTATTTTAGCACACAAGTTTGCTCCAAAAAGACGGTAGTTTTGCTTGCAAAGCAGGCACAGAGTATAGTAGAAGCTAGCAATGGCGAATAAGCTGCATACATTTCCACATAATAAACAAACAAAAAAAGAAACAAAAAATAAATACATAGAAAAGTTGGTCATTTATCTTTAGTCAGTGCAAGTGGTATTTTTGGAAAACAAGGCAGATATTTTAAAACTTTAATGTATCCTATTTCGTTACAATGTAAGGTAATTTTCAATTTAGCACTACTTTGGCTGTACAATCAGCAACTCAATCAGCGGTTAACAGCTGTAACTTCGACGTTTTTACTGTTATTCTAATTAGCGAAAACAAAACACACAACAGCTGATTGCGCTGCGAATGCTAACTAACGAGTTTTGAAGATTATGTCGTACGTATGTTGTTTTAATTTGTTTACAGTTGTAGTTGTATAATTTCACAAACTGAGTGCAACTTAGCTGTCAAAAATAATAAAAATAATAAAAATCAATAAACATCACGCAATTAGTCAAGTGTTAATTCATAATCTAAGAAATTTTTACAACACTAGTATAAAAAACTTTCAATTAACAGTAATTGTTAAACTAACTATATAATTTACATATTTTAATTTGCGCGCAATTCACACTTAAATTGACAAAAAAAAAGAATTTTTTTTAATATACCGATTTGTTAAAAAAAAATTTTTTTTTATGTAAATTAAACAATCAACAGTTGAATTGAATTAACACATAAATTGCGAAAACGCAACAATACTTTAGAAATGAAAACTCTTGTAAAAAATTGAAACTCGAATATAAATTGAACAATACTAATTGAGATTAATTTAAAAGTGTAAAAAAAACTAAGCTAAAACTCATTTATTTATAGATTTTCATATACTGTACCTTTACATACGACTCATAAAAAAATATTATTTGCAATTTTAATAAAATGTTTGATAATTAACAATTATTAGCGCGTTAATGGTGAAAATTACCATTATAATGGCTAAATTGAGCAAGTTCGTGACGAGCGTGTCGATTTAGTCATGTCCTTCTATCTATCCGTCAGTATATACGCAAACTAGACTCTGTTGAGATATCGATCTGAAATGCTGCACACTTTCAGCTAGAAGCTGCTCATTTGTCGAAAACGCCACTATCGGACAACTTTAGCATATAGCTGCCATACAAACTAAACGATCGAAATCAGAATAGAGATCTTTTTATACCTATTTATGCTACAAAAGTACACCTGTGAATGGTATTATGGCTGCCGTACAGCCGAAGTTAACGGTTTTTCTCAATTTAATATTAAATTTTTGTTCGCTAAATTTTCTATTGAAAAATCAAATTAATATTGAAGTGATATTTGCTAAATTTCATTCGAATTGCTGAAATAAAATTGAAAGAATATCTAAAATATTTGCGTTTTTAGCCTTGTTTCTTGAATACATTTTCACAGAATTTAATCTGCTAAGGATATACAATAACAAATTAATAAATGAAATCTTTTTTCTTTAGGCGGCAATTTGGGTTTAATTAACGCCTTAATAGAGTGAGCTGAGATATTTAACAATGAAATATTTCTTTTAAGTTTTCTCTTCTTGCCTCAATGATTAATTAAAGAACATATCAGAATTGCGCAATCACGTGTGTATTTAAAAATAATAGACAATATTCTTTCGTAAAAAAAATAATTGATATTCATTTCTTTTACATGTAAAAATATTCCTTTTCAACCAGTTTATACTCTCTGCTGCAAGTTTTGATAAATTTATTAAATTACATGGCAAATCAAATAATTACGTGGTATCAATTCACTACCTTAGGGTGAGATATAAGCTCTTAAGCACTGCAGAAAATACGTAAAAATACGAATACGAGAATAGTAAAACTGCACATTAAGCAAAAACGTTAGCGCTTGTGTAAATATTTCATGTGTTTACGCTTTTTTAATGCCAATAATAGCTTGCATAACTGTTACTATTTTTCCAATACGCTATAAATACAAAAATGCTACATATTTGTTTAAATTAGCAACAAAACGCTTAATCGCTGTATTCACATTACTTAATTGACGTTGAATGAATTATGTTTTCGCTGGAATTGAAATTGAAAAACAATCTACCATAAATAGCAATGTATACATGTTAGCGTTTGAAATAGCGCATGCATTGCATAACAAAGGTGTGCATGATTTGTAATCGAAACAATTAACAAACGAGCACGTTAAAACCTATAAATTTACTGATAACTCTGCTAGCATACTAATTGCGCAAAAACAGTGTGACGATCTATAATGAATATATGGCACAATATTTGTTAGGATGCTTGTGGGAGCAATATGCACATGTATTTATGCATCTCTTGAGTGTTACTAAAATTAGCTGAGCGATTCTAAACGAGTTCAATTGAACGTGTTACTCATTTTGTATTTTTTCTTTATTCAAATAAAAGAACAAATATTTGTTCTAGTACATTCTGTACTGAAGATATTTCTAGGTAGGTAGTTAGGAGTGCAGCTCCTTCGCGCTCAATAAAATGGCGTTTACATGGGGATTCTTTTGTTACTCATTATCGGCAAATTTTCTTTTAGTCTCGCTCTGTGCATTCATATGAGCGAAAAGAGTCTAGCAAAAAAATTAGCAAAGGTTTGCGCGGTTCGGTTTTGCTACACTTAGAGCGTGTTGAGCGTATTTTGCTTACAAGGAATTACCATGAAAGTGGTACAACAATATTTGGAATACCCGCTATTATTATTTTCAATGCCAAATGCATGGCGGGAATTCTCTAATCTATCGGAAATTATTAAAAACCCCTAATTTGTATATTCCAAATTTTTTTCTACAAACATTCATGAATTAAGTACATTTCTTGTTTTAAATAAAATATAACATAATTTTCGAACTAAATCAGTTGCGGTTAAACGAAATAAATATGAAAGCATCTTAACATTTTCTGTAAATATAAAAAACTAAAAGTAACTACATTTCTATTATAATTATTACTTTTTATACTACTAAATATTATTAAAAATATAAATTAAATATTTTTGAGTATCTTAATTTTATCCTTATTCACGATTTTACAAAATAATTCTATTATTCTATGCATATTATACAAAGCGTGGCACCCTTCATCTCTCCACGGCGTCCCCTCGCCCACCAAAAAGCGATTTGGGCGACAAAAGACTCCATGTGTGAACTGGGACTTAGCGCTAGATGCGCCATTTTGATACACTATCGTAAGACCTTTAAATCTTGATCTCCGTTATGTTTTACTAAATAGACATTTAAAGCTTGGTACCTGATGGATTCCAAGAGTTCAATGTCAAGCTTGTTCAAGAGAGTTCTGCACCGCAGTCAATTTTGAAGCCATCGGTATAGATGGAGATAGTATCCTCCTCACCTACTAAACCTCTTCTCTATTCACTTCTAGAGAGTGGTAGTAGATGTTTTTTCATAGATCAAGTATAGTATTTTGTTTTCGACTTAATACAAAAAAATTTCGACCTAGATTTCTACCCATTTAATTAGATATCCCAAAACTATGAATTATGAAAACAGATTAATAAGCATGGAAAACTATAAAAACAACTGCCTTTCATTGCACTCCCGGGTAATTACAAAAACAGTTAAACAGAAATGAAACTTCAACTCTCTCGCAACCACATAGGCAAACTTATTAGAAGCGACTGTGCAAAGTTTAACAACTGAGCGGGGAAAGCGTGAATTTCAGAGTAGAAAATCGGCGTCAATGGATCAAAATGAAAAACATAAAACCAACAACAAAACTTTTAGTAAAATTCTGCGAATAACTGAGAGTTTAATTAATTAGTGATTTATGTAGGTAATGAACAGAGGAAGAACAGCGGAAGGGGAGTGTTAAGGAAGCCAAATAAATGAACCGAAAATAAAACATAGCAGTAATCAGCTTAAACCACACTTTGGCTTAATATAATAAAATATTGCACTTTCATGAATTACATAAGAAAACAGTTATTTATATTTGTATATGTGTCAATGTGTTTGTGTGTTTGTGTATATGAGTCTATGTGTTTATGTGTTTGTGTGTTTTTGCTTTTATGCAATTATATATATTGTATGTGGGCGTGTAAGTTGGCTTACGCAAAAGTGCAGCTTTGTAAAGAAGAAGACAAAAGCAAAAGCATAAGCATTCACTCATCTCAACCAAAAAAGTGTACGAAGGCAGTCACTTCAAGATTTACTACTAAAGAATATCAAATTATTACTGTAATATTTACGCCTATTTTATATGTACTTATGTATGTAAGTGAAAATCTAAATTTAATATGAGTAAATGTACCTCTCGACTTGCTATAAATACGTATATTACATTTATATGTAAATATGCTAAGGGCATAAGCAAATTGAGTATAAGAAATAGTGTTAAAAATAGTAGTTTGGTGTTAATAAAGGTGTTCAACAAATATTGTTGCAGCCCTAAATAATTTTGGTGGAATATATATAGGTATATTTATATTAGCAAAGATTTTGTTGTAATTTGTTAAGCTAAATTCCCTTATGTACTTATACACATTAGCGTGTCCATTATTTTCTAAGAGGGTTTTTTTTTATTTCTTTTGTAAACGCCCCCTGAGGTTATAGTTGTTGTCTTAAAAAATTATCCAAGGTAAAGAAGTTCTTTTTTTTCAACTGTGCATACATTGTTTTACTTTTCCCATATATTTTATATGGAATTTTTTGATCTTTTGCAATATAGTTTTTATCTCCAAAGCAAATAAACTAAAACTATAAAGAAGTAATATTGTCATACAAAATTGTTGCACTCTACAGAAAATGTCTTAATGATTTTTTTAAAATTTATATCCATGTATGCATTAATTGTGATATATTCATATAGTACACCATGTCGTATGAGCAATACATAATATATTGTATAAATCACTTGTATTAATGTTTACGTTGAATCCGTATTTTTAAGACAAAAGCTAAAACTTCAAAAGGCGTTTGCCAAAAACAATCAACTTAGAAAATAACGAACATACATAGACACACAAGACTTAAATTTTTACTACAATGTTTTGCTAGCGAATTTAATAAAAATGTATGACCGTATAGACATACAGGTATGTATCTGTGGTCACAAAGCTGAACCGCTCGAGTTAAGACTATATTGTTATTAATTTATTTAATTATTATTAATTCATTTAATTATTATTAAATATTGAATTAAATTATATATTTATTGGGAACGATTTGTTATGAACAAATGAATAATAAATAATTTATAGTTATTAATATCTCTACAGCTCATTGTTTTAATCTAAAATAAATCTTATAAGCAAAATTTGCTTATTTTTTCCAACTTGCCCACAAAGGAAGCGAGTTAAGCTGTTACGTTTTGTAAATGATAGAATTATATACTTTATATTCATTAAACTACAAATATTTGCATTTTTCAGTTGAAAGTATTGTATTTCTTATCAACTAATTTAAGTACTATTGAAGTATTATAGTTATTATAAACAATATAATATTTTTTACTAAAGCAACATTTTTTAACAACGTTCAAAGAGCAAATTTATATATTTTTAATTTGATGCCTTAATTGTAATATTAATGTTAAAAACCAAAATAAATATTTAAAAAAAATTTAATTTTTCATTACATTTTTTTTTTTAATAAATGATTATAAAGTTTTTCGTTTTTAATTACAACATTGATAATTGTTTTATTTTTACTTTATAGTCACTCATGTCAAACTCTGCTCTCGTTTCCTTACACTGAAATCATAAAATGACTCGTACACAATATGAAGTTACTATACCAGATCTTTCTTTTGATTTGGTGAAAAAATACATGTTACATAGATTAAAATCTTAAATGAATATATGGATATATATATAAAGACTTATTTTTAAATTTTTAAACTCTCACAAAAGGCAACAAGCAATTGCTATAAACGCTGGAAGGTAGGAACAAAAATCAAAATGGGTTCAACCCCTAATTCCTAAATAAAAAATTCAAAGAAAAGCATAACATTTTTTATTAAAATATTATTCTTATAAGTTATCATCATGAACTTTCGCTACGTTTTCTCAATAAAATTAAAGAAATCAAGAAAAAATGTACGAAAAAATTTAAGTACTCTGATTTTTTGGGGAGAAATTCCTCACACTATTTTACATCAAACGTACTCCAGGAAACTATAAATAATAAGTATTATAAGCAACTCCTGGCAACATCGCTGAAAATGATTTTTTATGGTTAGAATAAGCGAGCCATTGATTCATAATAACCAAAAAATGCGAATGAAGCAAAAACTTTGAAACTTTTTGTTATTTTGCTTTGCTACTTAATACGATTTTAAGTTTTAGTATTTTTACGATGGACAAATATAATGAAATAAAATTTCAATCTTCGCTTTCTTTCTCTACATATTTTTTTAATTTACCTGGTAGCCATTTAACAATGGGTCTCCTAAAGGCTCTTCCTGGCAGCCATAATAAAGAAATTAAAATTACAAATTATTAATAAAAAAAAACGAAATATATTTATATTAATATATTAAACGAAAGCTGATGTTATTGTATTCAAACACATAAATAATTAGTAGCAATAGAATTGTTAATACTGAGTTCATTTATTTAATTAAGTACCATAGTATTGGAAGCAGTATATATGTATGTAGATGTATTTATCATTTGAATTACAATGATTTAGTTACCGTTACACGCAGCTATGTTATTAAAATTAGTAGGTGTAATTAGGTAAATGCTTACCATAATAGTGTCTATTAGTTTAGAAATGTTGTGTATGTATGTTTATATGGCTCATGTATGTATATGTGGCTCAATTACTATAAAGCAAGAACAAGCATAATAAAATATACATAAAAATTGATAAAAATATAGCATGCGTATTTTTATATTTATGGAAAATAGTTTCGAATTAATAATGCTAATAGCTGGCTAGTAGTTAAGCTAAGGCTCAGATAGTAACGTAATGGTCAACATTTTTCGACATTTCAATCATACGTTTTAAACAATATCTTTTAACAAGATTCTTAAGTGATAATCTTGCTTCTCAACGCAAATATTCTACCAGTAAGCAAATTCTTAAAGGTTAGATTTAGGGGCAGGTGCTCTGTGATGATCCCTACAATATTACTAAGTTCCTTTCTAGCCTAAAAGTAGAAGCTTTTTAGTCTGTCCACCATCAACACTAACATCAAGCAGCTTTAAAGAAGCCGAATGGTCTAGGGCCGCTTAGGAGAATTGTGTGTTCCTAGTGTACCAAGACAGGAAGTTTTCATCTAGGCTTCATTGCCTCATGAAACTCTTAAATAAGCTGAAGGGTATAGGGCCAACTCGTCTGCCTTTTCCTTTTCTACTGCCTATTACTGAGTATACTGTTCAAAAAAAAAAATTCTTGAACATGCTGGTTAGAGCAGAAGCCCACTTAGCACCTTTTTTAATACTAGTACAATGTAATGCCTCAATCATTCCATCCGTCTGTCTATATATACGCCAACTAGTCCCTCAGTTTATGAGATATTGATCTGAAATTTTGCACACGTCCTTTTCTCCACAAGAAACTGCTCATTTGTCGGAACTGTCGATATCGCACCACTGTAGCATACAAGTGTAGCTGCCGTACAAACTCAGAGATCAATATTATATCCTTGTATCAAAAACTTTTATGGTTGACGAGATATCTACACGAAATTTGGTGTGAGTTACTATCTCAGACAACGGTACAATCTCCGAAGAAATTGTTTAGATCGAACCACTATAGCATATAGCTGGAATACAAACTGATCGAACAAAATCAATTCTTGTATGTAATCTATTGTATTTGGGAAGGGTATTCTAGCTTTGGTGCAACTCTTTTAAATTTACAAATGTACCTTACGTAAGCGGTGGTTTTATTAGCACTTTTGAACTTTCTGAATTTTCATTAGCTCTTTCAAAGAAACAGGGAGAAATCCCCTTCAAGCAAGATAGCAATGCCAGCGGTCAAGACCTGCGGCCACTCGTTTGTCAACCCCAAAATGCGGACTATGAGATACGACAACCTTGCCATTTAATTTTATTACGAAATCATTAGCAATTGAACTGCTTTGAGTCATTGTTGTTGTAGCTGTTGTTGCTGTGACATCCAACGCAATCAGTAGCTATTTGATGAAGTACGTATATGTACTTGTATAAGTATGCATATACAACAAATAACTCAGCAGTTCATATAGTACACCCATCCACTTACATATATATATATTTTTATATATAGACATATAAGTGTACAAGCTGTTTCATTAAATACGAATATGTCCGTCACTTTCCGATTTCGGTCAGTTGTACATATAATATTATTCGTTTATATTGCAACGCTCGATCAGCCGTTCAAATGACATTGGAAAATATCCCCAAGACATCACAAACATAATTGCTGACACACACTTTTGCAGAAAACTATTGCCAGTGGGTGTATGCACCATTTACTATTATATACATACTTACATACATATAAACGCTGGTACGTGGATATTAAGGCAAATAATATAAGTAAAACATCAAAAACACTTTAGTCTCGGTTGCTTGCCTCCAGCAGTGAACTTTACATTCGCACTTTTGAACAACAGCAACAAAACAGTAAAACATAGCCTAGATCAAAATTTAAGCATAACAGACATCTATAAAAGTGAAGTGTAAACGTACGAAGAGAAAAGGAGAGAGAAACAATAAGAACTCAAGCAAGAATAACTTCGAACGAAGCTGAATTCCATATACATATATACTTGAAGGATGTTCGAGAATTGTCTTTATATATATTTCAACATAGTGTTCCAAGACCGGAGGTTTTCCTCTAGGGTCCATTGCCTCCAGCAACGCTTGAAGAAGCTGAAAGGACTATCTTTATTATTATCGTTTTATTTATTTAAAAAATTATTTTAATTTTGATTTAATTTCACTCGCAATCTAGGCGGTAAGTAATATGACGGATCTTTTTGTTTAGCATTCTAGCATGATAATTTTTTTCGTAAAAATATATACATATGAATAATGCGTCACAAATTCGAGTTTATAATCTTTTGTAAATAACGGTTAATTTAGTCACTGTAGCGTTTAAGAAATGTAGAGTTTGATTTGTCATACGGGTATGTAAGATGGTGAGCTGTCAAAATAGTCAGCAGAGAAGTCGAGTTATTTAATAATTCAACAGAATTTAATTATAAACTAGCTTGCTCTATCGCAATTAAATTAAAAACGATGGTGTTTGAGACTAGTAGTAAGGAAATTTGTTTTAGCAAAAACTAACATTGATTGCCAAACCCCGCTTTTTTTCTTACTTGTTATTATTATTGTATTTTATCAATAAAATTATATCACCAAAAAAAAAATGGAGTTGTGCTGAAACGTTTCCGGGCTATAATAGGTAGTACTACTATATCCCCTGATATGAAAGTAATAAAAATTTAAAACACAACACCCGCTAGCACCCTCGTCAAAGGCAATGCGTGCACTCAACTGCACACAGCATTCTAACCATTATACCGCTTATTTTACGTATTTTACTCAATTTACTCTCACACACTTATTGTCTGAACTTCCGAATTCTTTATATATTTTTGCTTGCTTTTCGGTTTTCTTTTTTTCCCTGTACGAGGTGTGTTCAAAGGAAAAGGTGAATTTTGTTTTTTCGCGGACTACGTAAATTCGATTATCGATATTTTGTTTTTGTTATAATCGGACACATATGTATGTTTATCATATGCTTGCATTGGAAGCCAATTCCGATTAGTATTTTGCTTTTGACAACAGAAAAGGTTAGTCATGTTTTTGTATGTTCACCAGATTTGGCTCCTTGCGACTTTTTCCTATTCCCAAAACTGAAGAAAGAAAGAATTGAGATCATGTCAGAATCGAAGAAAAAGCTGATTGCTATACAGAAAAGCGCATTTCAGAAGTGCTTCGAGGATTGGAAGAAGCGTTCGCACAAGCGTATTACATTCACGGCTAATTACTTTGAAGTGGACAAATTAGATATTCATAGATAAATAAATACTTTTCAAAAAAATTCAAAATTCACCTGTTCCATTGAACACACCTCATATTAACCTCTTACTGCTTTTTGGTTTCTGCAGAAATTGCAAATATTTTACTTTCATAGCTTTGGATTTTCTTCTTAACTCACTTTGAGTTAATTCAATCACATTTGATTCGCTATGATTTTATTTTACTCTTCAATGGTTTTTTGACGGTTCAGTGGTAGAGTGTGGTTTGGAATAAATTTACATATCAGTGAATAAGAGCTGTGGGAATTCACAGAGATTGTACTTTTGATACTATTTCAGTAAATCAAGAAAAAAAGGAAATAATAATTTAGAATTTAAATATATTATTATGCTTAAAAGTAAATAATATAAATTTATTTGAAGTCTTCATCCACGCAATTTACATATTCAAGATAAAATTTCTATTACTCTTCTAATCATTCAATAAGATAAAGATTCAGCGAAAGCAGTTCGATTTGTCAACCTTTTGTTTCTGCCCAGAAACATCCACTCAGAAAACGTGAAGCTCTCATCTACTTCCTTTCATATACAAGCTGGCGACCACTAGACTCTGCAGAAAAACATATACTGGAACAATCCTTGTTGACTAAAAGAATAGCGCTAAATCATTATGTTACTCAAAGCATGTTGAAAAGTGCTATTCGTTTCCTTACAGCATAAGGAGCTAAAGTCCCGAACCACTATTTTAATAATGGCAGAATCAGAATCCAAAAGGCAACAAGAATAATGCTGTATCTCGAAAAACTCTTTTAATATTTTGCCACCTAACATATCTTATAGCATTACATAGAACTGATTGAACTGTATTCCTACCATTGAAGAAACGTACATAAATAGTCGGAGCATTTTCAGTTCAAATATTTGTATAGCCAAGAACTCACGAAATCAGCAAATAAAACATTCTAAACACAGTAAAAAGAATTTAACAGCGATATAAATGAACAGGAACTTTTTAAATTTAAAATTTGGTAAATATGTACTCACAAATGTATATCTTTACGCCCAAATAAACAGAGATAACATCAGGACATCCTGTACTAGTGATAACTGCACACCTGCTTAGTATACTCGCTCCAACATTCCTTTGACACTATTATCGTTCCTATTATTTGCTTACCTTCGTAAGAGATTGCTCATTAGCTTGGCACGTGACATTTGCGGAAATTGGGAAGTACTTAAACTTAACTTGCTATCGCTTTCGCATTCCTACAACATAAACAAATTAGCAATGTGGGCACAGAGCTGCCAAAGTATATAGGCAGGTAGCATGGCGTTGCAATTTTATGTGTGTTTACTCAAATATCCGGGAAACGAAGAAATTTTATTTCCACTCTTACGCTTAAATGCCACGAGTGATAAACAGTGCTGCGGTTAATGAGCAGCACTTACGCTGCGAAAACAACAACATCTAAAAACAAGACCCAAACTTAAACTTGGGCGACATTTACAAAATGTTGGTTAGGAGTTTTTGGTATAAATAACTGCTTAAATGCCTGTTAAGTAGTGCACAAAATTTGAAAATTGTGCTAATGGTTCGTCCACTGAAGACTACAAGATGGATTCAAAGAATAATCTACTTACTCGCAGGCACCAAAAGAAGACACATGAGAGTTTTTCGCATAGCCGAGCCTCTGCTGCATTACAGTCAATTTAATTTTAATAAACCATTTTAACTTTTCTTACCCTTTAAAGAATTTAAATAAGTCTTACTCAGTTTTTGAAATATCGATATGAAGATTTGCTTTTCTTCTTTTCTCCTTAGGAAGCTGCTCATTTGCCAATCCGCCGATATCGGACTTCTATAGCATATAGCTGCCATACAAATCCAACACTCGAAC